TTTTCATTCTCGATTGCTAAGGCTATTCAGGGTCTTTTGTGGTTCCATATAAATTTTAGGAATATTTGTTCTAGATCTGTGAGATATGTCATTGGGATTTTCATAGGAATTGTGCTGAATCTGTGTGTAGATTGCTTTGGGTAGTATGAATGTTTTAATTATGTTAATTTTTCCTATCCATGAACACAGTATATGAAAGCTTCCTTCTTAAGATCAAGAAAAAGACAAGGATGTTTACTCTTACTACTTCTATTAACACTGTACTAGAGGTTCTAGCCTAGGCAGTTAGGCAAGGAAAAAAGAAAAACACGCAGACTGAAAAGAAAAATAAAATATTTCTATTTGCTAATGACATGACTGTATATTAGAGTAAATAATTCAGCAAGGTTGCAGAATACAATATTAATACACAAAAATTAATTGTATTTCTACACACTAGTAAACAACCTGTAAATCAAATGAATAACTCAATTCTCTGTAACATCAAAAACAATAAAATACTTAGAAATATATTTAACAAAATAATACTGAGGACACTGAAAATTACAAAATTATAAAATTATCAGAAGTTGAAAGCCACTAAAGACCTAAATATAAAGAAATGTTGTGTTCATAGGCTGAAAAACTTAATATTGTTAAGATGGCAATACTCCCCAACCTGATGTACAGATTCACCATAGTCTACCAAAATCCCAGCTGGCTTTTTTTTTTGGGGGGGGGCCAGAAATGGACAAGCTGATTCTAAAATTTATATGGAAATGCTGGGTCACAGGACTTAGAAATCAATCTTGAAAGAGACCAAAACTGGAAGATGAACAATTCAATCTCAAAATTTACTACAAAGTTACAGGAATCAAGACTGTAGTACTGGCATATATATATATACATATACATCTCTCTCTCTAGGCAGCAAACACAAGGCCCATGTGCCGAATTTGGCCCTCCACCTTGTTTTATTGGGACCCACACCTTGTTTCTATCTGTTGGCAGCGCCACGCTCCTTGCCCCTAGTTAAGGAGTACTTACATTTATATAGCCCTAAAATTATACTCAGCCCTTTGAAGGCAACTGTGAGGCTGATGTGGCCCCAGTGAAAATGAGTGTGACACCCCTGCTTTAGACACACATATATTAATGGAACAGAACTGAGAATCCAGAAGTAAACTGTCACATTTATATTCAATTGAATTTTGACAAGGGTATCAAAGCAGTTCAATGTAAAAAGAATAGTCTTTTCAACAAACGGTCCTGGGATAATTAGGTAACTGCATATCCACATGAAACTGGGTTTCTATGTAACACTGTATATTAAAAAATAACTCAAAACAGATTAAAGACAAATGTTAACTGCAAGTACTGTAAAATTTGAAGACACAGGCATAAACCTTCATGACTTTGGATTTGACTATTATTTTTTAAGTATAAAACCCAAAGCAGAGGCAACAAAATAAAATATAAACTGGACTTCATCAAAATTAAAAACTTCTTCTAAAAGTACATCATCAAGAAAATGAAGACAACCCACTCAAGGGGAGAAAATAATTGCAAATCATGTATCTGATAATGGACTTGGATCTAAAATATAAAAAGAACTCTTAAAACTCAGTAATAAAAATAACCCAATTTAAATATGGGCAAAAGATATGAATAGAATTTTCTCCAAAGATATGCAAATAGCCAAAAAACACATGAAAAGAAGCTCAACGTCCTTAGTCATCAGAGAAATGCAAATAAATCCACAATGAGATACCACGCACACCCATTACAATGCAATAATCAAAAAGTCAAACAACAAGTATAGACGAGATGTGTAGAAACTGGAACCTGCATACATCGCTGCTGGTAATGTAAAATGGTGCATCCACTTTGGAAAATAGTCTAGCAGTTCCTCAAAAAGTTAAATATTGAGTAATAAATTGCATGACCTTGAAATTCCATTATCAGTTCCAGCCACACTAAATTGTTCCTATTTCCCAAATGTATATACCCAAGAAATGAAAACATGTGTCTACACAAAAGTTAAGAACAGCACTATTCATAATAAAAAAAATATAAACAACCCAAATGCCCATCAACTGATGATAAAATGGTAAAAAAAAAAATGGTACATCCACATAAAGGAATCATACTCAGCCATAAAGAGTATTGAAGCACTGACACCTGCTACAACATGGACAAACCATGAAAAACACTGTGCTAAGTGAAAGGAGCCAGTCATAAAAGACCACACAGTGCATGACTCCATGTACAAGGAACGTCCAGAATAGAAATGCTAAGAGACAGAAAGTAGATTAGTGGTTGCCATAGGGCTGAAGCGGGGATGTTAGAGGGTGATGACTAAAGATTACAGGATTTGCAGGGGTGGGGGGTGAGATGTTCTAAAATTGGTTTGGGTGGTGGTTGCACAACTCTGAAAACACACACAAAAAACACTAAACTGTATACTTTAAATGGATGAATTGTATGGTATGTGAATTATATCTCAAAAAAAGTCGGGAGAAAAAAAACTACACTCTCCCCCTCTATGACACTTTTCTTGCTCTAATCAAACTGACCATTTGAACCATGTTGCCACCACTCCCTGCAAGGACTTGGGGACCTACATCTGACACTAACTGAATTTATTTGTCTGTTTTCCTCCATAAGCTGTGGGTTCCTCAGAGATTTGGCTTATTTTTCCTTGAATCCGCAGTATATGCATTCTATGTGAAAGTGTACTTCATAAATATTTGCTAAAACACTATCTTAACAGCTGTCATGTGGAAAAGGGACTATGCTTTTTCACATATTCCAATGGGTGGAAATGGAAGATCCAATGACACAAATTTTAATAATTTTCAAATGATGGAGGCTGCCCCTTTCTTAAAGCAAGAATTTCTGAGTTCTGTGACTTCTCCGAATTGATACTCAAATCCTCAATGTGTACATAAAAATTATGTGCATTTTTCTGGAGAGGCAATCCGTAACTTTTATCAGATTCTCAAAAGGATATGCAACCCAAAAATGGTTAGGAGTCACTATTTTGAAAATGCCAGTATGCCAGGGCAAGGATTTAAGTTAACAAATTTCAGTTACCAGAATACATCATTCAAGATAAGTTTCTGCCTAGATTAAACTACTTCAGCAACAAATGCAAAAAGAGAATTCGCAATTTAGGAATTTCATAATCTTAAATTATTCATTTAAAAGTATTTATTGACTGTTATTTTAGCCCGGTGCTGAAGAAACAATGCTAAAGAAGACAAAGCCCCTGCTCTCAGTGAGCTTACATTCCAGAAAGCAGAAACAAATAAACAAATGAGTAAACAAGATAATTTCATATAGTCATCCCCACAATAAAGAAAATAAAACAACACAGGAAATGTTGGATAGGAAATGGTGGGAGTGGAAAGAATTATTTTAGGTAGGCTCCTTAGGGAAAGTCTCTTGGAGAAGGTCACATATGAGCTGAAACTTGAGTGACAAGGAAGCTGAGGGAAGAACGCCTCAGGAATAAAGAGAACAGAAAGTGCAGATTCTAAGACGACAACATTGAATACCAGCACTTGAGTTCTCCAGGGAAAGAGCCATGTCTAATTGCTATACTCTCCGACAGTCACAAGAGTGTCTCCCACCCACATTCAATAGAACATATTCAAGATAATTCAGCATAATGGGAATTCAATTCAGTAAAACGCTGTTTTGGAAGAATCTTTACTGTGCAAGATCATCATGAATTTACTTCTCTTCAAGACAGACAATGCCATCAGACAAATAAATAAAAGATTTGGGATTCTGTAATAAAACAAAAAAATAAGAACAAACATGTAAGGATATTTTCTGGGAACCTCTTCCATGTAAATTGTTTCTGCAAGTCCGCCACCCCTAGAGCCTAGTTCTCTGTATCTGTGGTATTTATAATCTAGGATGTGCAAGCGGGTGGAACTGCAGCCAGTGCGCACAAATTAAAGGGAAGTGGATTTCAGTTTAAAAGGAGCTGTCCAATAATCAACAGGTTGAACATGAGTGCAAGTGTTAGAGACTATAAAACCATGTCTCTAGGATGTTGCAGAGATAATTTACAGGAGAGAGTTACAGTAAAACTTCACACCTATGGAGAATTGTTCCAGCTCCCTCTCCCAACTTTTGGCGTCCGCCTTTACACTCACTCATTCATTATGTAAAAGCCCCCGAATGCGACCAACAGGGTGGGTTTTTTAAACACCACATACATCATGCCAATAACAAAAAATTAACAAATAAACACTTATTTAATTGAGCGGACGGTAGTGATTTCTTCATCTCGGTAATTAACATTTGGATTAAATCTTGAAGTTACAAGTATATCTCGCTTTATTGAACTTCTCAGATCTTTCTTTCTTTTCTTTTTTTTTTTTTTTTTTTTGAACAAACTGAAGGCAAGCCTCGCCCGCCCCGCTCCGCTTTATTAGGATGGTCTGGAAGCGAACCCTCAATATCTACAAGGCACACCTGTATATTTTTAAAGGCACAAAAAAGAGCCTGAAGCACTCAGCAACCATCATTAAAAAAAAAACAAAAAAACGAAACACATTACTAATTAAGGTTACCACTACCAATTCAAACGGACTTTATTACATAGGAAAGCACAGCAGAAAGTATCCACAAACTTTAAAGAGGGGTCCCAAGTGGGAGCCCTCCTGAAGCTAAGCACCTGAAAGAGTTGAGATAAGCCGAGGAGGGGAAGGGGCTGCCAACAATGGGTGTGTGCGGACCACTGAGAGGGTGCCCAGCACGGAAGCACGCTTTCCTGGCCCCTGAAGGTCAGCAGGGACGGGAAACCGGGGGAGTCGCCCGCTGCCCACCGACGCCAGGGGAGCCGTGGGGCTCGCCACCTCCCAAACGTCTGCCTTCCCCAGCCGGTTTTGCGGGTAGGCAAGTGGGGACCGGAGGCTCCCGAGTCACCCCGCCTCCCTCGAGCAGCGTTCCCCCTCCTTGTAGCAGGGATGCTGCCGGCTCCAGGGAAGCTGGCCTGCGCTTACCTTCGGGTGCTGGTGGCGGCTCCTGTCGCTTCCCGCGGGACAGGAAGACCCTGGGCAGCAGCAGCGACATTGCCAGGACGAGCCCCGAGGCCAGCGCCACCCTCTGCACCGTGGAGTACGCCATGGCCACTAGCCCTCACCACAGGTGCGGACGCGAACCGGAACCGGAACCGCAGCCCCGGCAGCCTCCCACGAGCAGACGGTGGGCTGCGCCGACGGCGACGCGCGAGGGACAAGAGCGCCAGGCGCCCGCACCTCCCGCACGCCAGTGCTGGGCGGTCTACTGCTCCCGCGAGGTTTCACGGTAAACGGTGCCGGCCACTGGAGTGAACAAACGAGCACCCCATCCCTGTGCATCCTACCGCCCAAATAGCCGACACTCGTGCCCTCCCCTCCACCTCTCTGACCACCGTGGCTCACTACCATCCTGACCTCACCATCAGTTTCCTCATTATTTCAGCGAACTCCCGCTTCCCCCACCCCAGTGGCCCTCGCATCCATTCTCCATTTGCAGCCAAAGGGGGTGATGCTCAGGTCTAATGATCTCGCTCCACAGCTTAAAACGTCTCAACCCCTCAGTATCCTCAGAACACCTGTCAATTCCTTTCTATGACCTGGAGGCCCCGCATCACCTGGTCTTGCCAATGCCCCATCAAACTAGATCATTTGCTATTTCTCTAGCAAATGATCTTGCTCCACTTGTCCTGTTCCAGCTGCATGGAAAATCCCTAAAGTCATATCCACCTGTTAAAAACTTCTCTGATTAGAACAACTGAAAAATACTCTTGTGAAACCTTTTAAGTTAGCCTCTCCTTCCTCTGTATCCCTGCAGTTCTTCCTTACTGTCTTTACTGATCTAGTGAATACACATTGAGTTCTCATTCTGTATTGAACCCTGAAATGGCACTAAAGGGTCTGATGCGCAAGATGGATCCGTTATGGAGCGGATAGGTATCTCAACAACAAAGTGCAAGAAATTTAGGGTTGCCCAAAAGTCTACATGCTTTTTTTTTCTGAAAAATAAAAGATACAATTTTCATTTTCACCAATAACTTTATTGATTTGGGTATTTTGACTATGTTGACTAACTTACACTGTTGTCCTCTAGTGGGTAGAGGCCAGGGGTGCTGCTAAACATCTTCCAATGCATGAAGAATGCAGCCCCACAACAAAGAATTATTTGGCCAAAATGTCAAACCACTTTTGACATGTTCAATCAGTCACAGCACCTTCTCCACACACTGCAAAAATCATTTTTGGCCTTTTAGTTGCATTTTTATCTTTTTTGAAATAATAAAGCATAATATGCCAAAAACATTGCATATTTTCTTCCGTCTTCAACGTTAGAATGGCTGCACAAAAACGACAGTTTTCATGGGTTTTGGGGATTTTTGGGGGCACACTGATGTGACAGCTGTCACAATACAATCTAACAAAATTGTTTTGAATGAAGTTAAAGACAACTAGTCACTACTAGAGCCATCATATGAAAAAAATGTAATGGACTTTTTGGTTTAGCGGGTCAACCCAATATTTTGGACTCTGGAGAAATCCAGTACACCTGGAAAGAGGCAGAGTCAGGGAAAGCTCCTGAGAGTAGGTGAAATTTGAGTGAGTTTTTGAAGAATAAGTTACTAGGCAGTCTGGTGGGAGGGGTAAAAGGGTATTTCAGGAAAAGGATACAAAGAAAGCAAAGGCATGAAAGCTTGAAGCTCCCTAGCATGTTCCAAAAACTAGTATTAATAGCTCATTGTGTGGGGGCCAGAGGGTAGGTGACAGGACATAAAGTGATAAGACTGCAAATATAAGCAGGAGCTAGATTGTAAGAAGCTTGGATACAACTTCCAGTTAAACATAGCAGTTGAAACACACCCATTTATCTTTGCTTTCCCCAGAAACCTTACAAAAATGAAGATAAAGAGATACAGTGTATCAATTTTAAGATGAAAGAGAATGGGAGAAAACATGACAGCAGACGAGAAATGTCAAAATTTTGTAAGATGCAACATTATCCAATAGAAATATAATGCCAGTCACGGGTAATTAAAATTTTCTAGTAGCCACATTAGAAGGTGAAAATAAACAGGTAAAATAAATATTTTATTTAACCCAGTATACCCAAAATATTATTAGTCTAATATGTGTAACACTAGTCAATCACAGTTAAATGGCTTAATAGAATGCGTGATTAGTGGCTATCATATTGGACAGTGCAGGTGTACAGTGAGGTGCCTATTCATTAAAAGTTAAGTCCCACAGAAAGAGAACCTCTAAGAGGCAAACTAATTTGCCCCTCAGAACCTACAAAGTCTTAGGAATTAGAGGCACTGAGTTCCTTTAAAGGCAGGAATGTAGAGTGGAGATGAATAAAGAAGGTTTGGTTGAAAGCCTAGTTAAGAATCAGTTGATAACCTCCAACTTCTTATTTTAAAGTTATTTACTTTTAGAGTGAGGGGAAGGGAAGGAGAAAGAGAGGGAAAGAAACATTAATGTGTGATTGTCGCTTGCGTGCTCCTTACTGGAGACCTGGCTCGCAACCCAGGTATGTGCCCTGACTGGGAATCAAACCAGTAACCCTTTGCTTCGCAGGCCTGTACTCAATCCACTGAACCACACCAGGCAGGGCTGCTGGCCTCCAAATCTTGTTCCTCTATTGTGGAGCCACAATTAGGGACAACACCTGTGGTTGCCCCACAGGCGTTGTTGAGGCACCATCACTGTTGATATTATCAACATCACTAAATGTTATCGAGTACTTACTATGCTCCAGTAGTTTACATATCATGACAGTCAATTCTTCTAACATTCTTCTAATGTTATGAAGTAAGTAATATCATGATATATCCACTTTACAGATGAGAAAATCAAAGAATAGAAAACTTAAGTAACTTGACAACAATTACACAGTATAAATTAGAAGCTACTATTTGAACTCAGGTGTACTTACTCCAGGACTTGCCCTCTTAACTACCAGTTTTACTTTCCGGAACCAGAGAAGCTCTGGACTCATGGACAACATGTGCAGCTTAGGAAGGTGGTGTCTGATGGGCTATGGCTTCTACAAGGTGCAGAGGAATCTGAGATGACCTCCAAAATTCTGGCTTGGGTGACTGGTTAAACACTGATTCCATATACCAATATTTTGAGAACAGAAGAATCGAGTTTGTGAGAGGAAGATGATGAGTTCAGATTTTGACTACTTGAATTTGAGGTTCCATGAAATATTTGTGTAGGGCTATCCAGTTAGATTTATGGGTCTGAAGCTTGGAAGAGATATTTGGCCTGGAGACAGACTGGAAGGGATTTGCTCATCAATAGTAATGAAGTCTGGGAGAAGATCATATTAGCAAGGGTGCTCATGAAAAGTAGTAAGAGGCCACCATGGAAACCTAGGTGACACCTTTATGTTGAAGTTCCCAAGTATGAGGACAGAAACACAATGAAAAGAAGATAGCGACCAGGTGTTAAAGTTATAAATGAGGAGTTACTGGAAGGTTGGAAGATGACAGGAGCAGAGGGTGTAAATGAGCAGGCAGGTGAATGCTCTTCTAAGGAGTTTTCTTTGTTTTGGGAGTAGTTGTCATAGCAGCTCAGCAGGCACTCATAGGCATGATTCTAAGTGCTGAGTGCATACACAAATGCATTGATGATAATACAAAACTTCCCAAATAAACGCCAGCTCCTTATTAGTAACCACTTCATTAAATACTATTCTTTGTTGTTCTGAGCTCATTACAAGTCTGTTTTCCTCTCACCTGAAGTCCCACTGTCATGGAACTTGTAAATTACTCCCTAGTAGCTCTTGCCTATGTGGATGGCATTCTTACCCCAGGGCTAAACGCCTTCCCAACATTCCTGATTTATCTCCTTTCTGCTTCTTGGCACTCAAATTCAAGACAGAAACAAACTTCTCCTGGGCTGTAAGATCCCAGGAGGAGAATCTTTCCTTCTCTGGTTGGCAGTTGGAGGCAGAGAGGGGCTCTCCCAGCCTTACGCCCCAAGGAGTGGAGGGATTCTGTTCCCTACCTTCTCCTTGGAATCCACTTCTACTCTGCCTTGTACTGACTAGCAGGGCTTCCCGATATAAGACACTCAAGGCCTTGCAGCTGCTGCCAACTGAGCCTGGCTGTGGGCCCTGAACCATTCCTCTATGTGGGGCCTCAAAAAGTCACAAAGTGTGAAGTCGACATATACATAGTTATTGATCATAATCTGACCTTTAGCTCATTCTATTGACTTACTTCTGTGACTTGCATTAGTGATGCTCAAACCTGACTTTTCTGATGACAGATCTTGAGTACAGAAAGCACCATAAGCAGGAGGTTCAGGAAGTCAGGGGTAGGAGATAGAGTCATAGTAAAATGCAGACCGAGCAGTATGGCCATTTGAAAGATGCATGGTCTGGGAGGCTTAGACTTAGGATGGTGGCCAAGGTGAATGGGCAGGGATCATGATCACTAGTTGTGGCAACAGTCTAGAGCAAAGTGGCGACAAAGTGGTAGTCCAGAGTGTTTAGCTGGGACCACATTCATTGTTGCAGCCAAGTGGGGTTTGGGTCTGAAGGAGACAGGAGTCTCCTCTGGGGGCCAGGGCTGTTAGGCAGCCCATGGAGCTGGGGAGGCTTAGGGTAGAGCCCTGCTGGCTGGTGGTGTGGTGGAGCAGCAGTGCATTACATATAACTCAAGTCCTCTTAAAAAACTCAGATCTTACCCTCGACATGAGGGCTCAGTTTTTCCAATAAAATATCCATGGAGAACTGAGATCACAAGTCTGGTGGCTATAGGCTTAAAAAGGAGTGAATGACAAGGAAGTAGAGATGGCAAGTCCCGCCCACACTCTATGGAGCTTCATGGAAAGGAAAGCTGAAAGGTGTAGTGGTAACTGGAGGGTGTTTGAGGTTTGAGGGAGGTTTGTTATTTTCTAAACTAAGAGGCTTGAAGATGTGTATACAGTTAGGGGGAAGACATTAGTAGGGGGAGATGGAAAGTGCAGGAGCAAGGGGACCAGTGTTGGAGCAAAGCCCAGATTCTGGAGCAGACATAAGGAACAGACATTAAGAACCCAGCAGTAGGGATCAGCTCAGAGGAAGAAAATGGGAGTGAGTTCAGGCACACGTAAAAGAACTCAGGAACAATAAATCAAAGGGGTCC